AGCGAATGAGTTTTACAGTCCACTGAGATGGGTTTTATGCCACTTAAAGCAATATTCCAGCAATATCAAGGGGGGTGGACACCAGAAATGGGCTTAACATATTGTACCCACATGGACAAGCGAACCCGGACATTTGGTGTGCCGAGGGAACGCTTTAACTGCTTGGCTTCCCCACCATCCCCTTGGGCAGGGAAGGGGGTTGGGGAGTGGTCATCAAGCTTTGGAAGTGGCTTGGTATTGGGTTGGATTTGGTTGAGGGGGGTGACTGGTTGGATTGAAGGTGATTAGGTTTTGGGTAAAAGATAAGGATTACGTGAGGGAAGGGGTGGTTACTGGGTAGGGGGCGGTGGTCAAGATTTAGGACGGGAGCTGGGTGGTTGAAGCGTTACTAGAACACCAGACTACTCATTTCACCAAAGCATCTTTTTCACTTTACATTAATTCAATGAACTGTCAGTGATATATTTTCCAGGAATTTTTCTTGAAAAATGTGTAATTTTCAATCATATTTTCACACCAAATTTGATGTTCACCCTGACATTAACTGCAATGATTTGTATCAATTGAGACACTGTTTGTCACCTTAGTTGTCGTGATATTAATGTGTTGCTAATGAATTTCCTCCATATCTGCCCATGGCCGTGCCCTGAGGTAGTCCTACATGCCGTCATGGCCATCAATCAGCGATAACTGACGAGATACTTAACGATTGTGAGACGCTAACGATAAGCTTTTCAGCTGGTGGGGCTAGGTGCTCCGGAGTGAAATTATAGACAATCTGAGAGAAAGTAAATAGAACGGAAATATATGACTTACAACTACTGTTAAGATGAATGTACCAGGTTTAATAACTCATTAGCTGCATTGCCATTTCAACATTCTGATTATTTATCGCAGTTTAACACAGAATATTTTAGAAAGAATTTTTGGCTTGTGTTTTCATTACACCTCGTTTTATGTCTAGGGGGATAACTCCTAATTTGTGATTATTTGTAATTTTTATGAGGGGTGAATACACCGTTATTACCTGTATGAGACGGTTAATGTGTGAGTTATTATTCAGTTTTACCAACTAACCACAGCGTCAATATTATAATGACTGAGCAAATTCTGAAATGTGACTCTCTGTTCAAGAGTGCTTGGATGTAATCAGTTTTAACAGGCAGTCGAAGCACTGACTGGGGCTTGATTTGACAATTGACAGAGAAAATCGTTATAAATTGTTATGAAAACGTATAAAATTATCATGCCTAACTCCTAGCACAAACTCCCCTGGGATATGAAAGGGGAATCTTTCTTTTGCTCAGCTGACACAATCATATTACTGATAATAATTCTGTTGGTGGAAAGTTTTCAATTTGGGTAATTCGATTATGAAGAGCAGTTCCGTGCTGATGCTATAGTTGCTGTTTCAATGTAAAGTAGGAATAGAATGATAGAAGGAGAGTGATACAGAGATGGAGAGAAAGAGTAACAGATGGTAGAAAGAGTGAGATAGTGAAGAATAGAAAAAGTAAGGTAGGATAGAAAGGAGATGGAGAGAGGGACAAAGAAAAGGATAGAAAGAATGACAGATGGAAAGAAAGAGTGATAAATAGAGTGAGAGTGGAGGATAGAAAGAGTAGGGTAGGATAGAAGGGGAGAACAGCATGAGAGGATGGAGAGAGGGGCAAAGAGAAGGATAGAAAGAGTCACAGATGGAAAGAAAGAGTAACATGATAGATGGAGTGAGAAAGTGAAGAAAGAAAGGTAGGTAAAGGGAGAACAGCATGGAAGGCAGGATGGAAAGAGGGACAAAGAGAAGGGTGGAAAGAGGGACATTCGAAATGACAGGAGGGAGGGAGAACGAGGAACACAGAAGGAAGTCAAAGTGCAGTATTAGAAGAGTTTCATGCTTTGCCTTACACGGTTATTAAGAGCTGAACAGAATTATGTGATGACAAATACATGTTTTTGCTTAAATAAGAAATTTCTGTGATTTAGTTGAAATTAACCAACCTTTGTTTTTGAGATCATAATTGCTGACTTGGCTGACACATGTCATCGTATCCAAATTGCGCAGATTGATGCTCATGATGTTGATCACTGGATTGTCTGATCCAGACTCGTTACATACTGTTTGTTATTGCAATGCAAAGGGTTTTATCAGACTGTTAAATACCAGTTAATATCTCTGCACACTAGCTTCGGTGGAGTGTTGATATTTCAGACACCACTTGTCTCAAAAGTCCATTATAGTCTCTTTGTTTAGGATGTTAACACAACACAACTATAGTCCAGCTTCATGTGAGTGGTAAATAATTACTCTGGCTCAGACGGACAGTGATTTACATCACCAACATCATGGTTGCATCATGTTCTAATCAACAAAATCACAAAAACTTACGGGGCGGTGGGGTAGCCTAGTGGTTAAAGCGTTTGCTCATCACGCCAAAGACCCAGGATCTATTCCCAACATGGGTACAATGTGTGAAGCCCATTTCTGGTGTCCACAACCGTGATATTGCTGGAATATTGCTGAAAGCAGCGTAAAACCATACTCACTCACAAATTCTTCCACCATTTTACGACAACACGGCTTGCCGGAGACTAGTTTTCTTAACTGAACATAACAATCTGAAGTTGACATTCAACCCGTCTTTGAAGCAGACCTACAAAGGCAGTAAAACCATCAATTTACAGAAGGTTACAGGGTTAATAAAACAAGATTAGGGGATGGATTATTGTATATGTGTAAAGGTATTCAAGTGAACCCAGCTGGCATCAAGTACTCAGTAACAGCAATAATATAAGAAAAGGTATTTTTAAACATTCAATAAAATAACAACATACCCCATAACAATTTGCGAACAAAACGCCATTTCTACAGGAACAGGTTTTCAATAAAGATGATGATTTAGTAGTAGGAGGAAGCGACGCCAAGTTTGGAGAGGGGAACAGGGTAATTGACAGATGTGTAATAAAGATGTGGATCTTGTATTCAGTGTAAGCTTGCGGGCACAGCTATGAGACTCAGTGGGTTGGGGGACAGGAACTCACTGAGCCGTGGAGGGATTGGTTCTGCTCAATGATTGCCCTAGGATGCACAACACGCAGTGTTGAGAAGGTCTTTGTACGGTTTAACCACCGCTTGGAGACGGGGTATAGCTCATTAGATTTTGTGTGCTATGAAGTAGATACTAGCGTCATAAAACTGGCTACAAGGTGGCTGGCTCTTGGCTTGGAGAACAGCAAGGTGCTTCACTGATGAAGCCAGCTCTGCTCGTTACAGCTCGATCCATGCTGGTGCCATAACATGGCGTTATGGTGATTTGGCTTGTACAAGCACCAGCCTGGATATAAAGTGCCGTGATATCATTGTATGGCACATGTAAGACACTACGATGAACTATTCCAGTTCTGACAAATTCGAACATTACCTGTGACTCTGACTGATGAACATCAATGATAAATTATAATGAATAAAGAACAGTTAGTGTTAGAACAGTCCATATGAATATTAGTTTGTTTGAAGTACATGATATATTTTGTTTGACTGGCATTTTTAAGTTGACTGGCATTTTTAAGTTGACAAGTTACATGAAAGGTGATATACTTCATGGATAGCAACATAATATATGGCGGCGTGTGGTCCTGTGCACAGAGCGCAGGTCAGCGAATCAGTTGAAGTTAAGCAACAGAGAGCTCGGACAGTCCATGGATGGGTGTCCGTGTTTGACAGCTTGACTCCTGAGAGTTTCTAGGACTTCCGTCCTGCCCCACAACGAAGCACACGTGATACATGTGGTCTCACCTTAGGCAAGTGAGTTTGTTCAAAATTGCCTCTGTTCACCCAGCAGAAAATGGGTACCCGGTTGGATAAAGTCATGTGACTATAACCTTCTAGCGCCTAACATGTCGCTTGGGTTGTCCGGGGTAATCATAATCGGGGTGTTAGCGCTTTGAGCATGCGTGTTGCGTGGAGATTAGCGCATTATAAGACTTCTCATTATTATTATTATTATTATATTAGAGAAGATGTCATCCAGAGTAGTACCTTGACTCACAAACATTTATTAGTTTTAAGGGTCCTTGCAGACAATATGAGGGTCCTGTGAGGTATCGGTGTTGAAGTAACCGTATTTAGAGCCTGGGATAAATCATTGATCATGTGGACTGGTGGATGAAATGATGCATGTAACTGCTCTGAAAGAAACAACCAAACACTTAGCAAAGTCAAAGATGTGTTGTGGGTACAGTGAATAATATTGTGCGTCCCTCTGGATGGAGTGATTTTTTCTGCGTCCATTCTCTACATTTGTGCGTATTGGACACAATAGCACGTCTTATAAAACCCTGGTCTTACCTTCTTGTTACACCATATATTGAAAAGAAAACTTAAACAGGAGATACACAAAAATTGTATTAATTCAAAAAAATTGTAAAAATATATCAGGGATGTGATGGTAAGATCAGTTAGAAGTTCATGACGTCAGTATCCTCTGCATAATGTTTTTTTAAATATGGGGGGATCAAAGTTAACCTGAACATAAAGTTGCAGCTGATCCGCCATGTGTATCAAATTATTTTCAGAACTACATTCTTGTTAGTATGTTATTTTGTTCCAGGCGCATAAAGTATGGTATTACGATGTTGTTGATTGCGTGCAGTAAGAAAGATAATTCCTTGGATTTAAATTACAGTACTTTCAGTTCATAACGATCCTGCTGCCAGATAATTTGGGAATAATTGTTCGGTATATCGACAAAGTCTGTGGGTATTAATGAGTTTCAAGTTAGGGTGATAAATCACTTGTTATTATATTCTTAATTAGTGCGATCCAATACTCTCATTGACGGTACGAGAGCTGTACGGAATTAAATTTTCAACACCTGTGGTGTATAAAGAACCTACAGAAATAATATGCAGAGATCAACTCGTAATCGTTTCTCAACCATAATTAGTAAGCATTTCCTGTTTCACATATTTCAAGATTTTTTACATTTTTCTATTTTTTTCAGTCATGAGACAGCTGGAGCAGTGGTCGGGACGACCTTGTTGTGACCTTGCGATGACCTCCGCTTGCAAACAGACATGTCAGAGGGTAGGTAACAGTGTTGCATCATGGATAATTATTATGTAAAAAATTGAGATGCTGTGTTACATGCAGGAAGAGTTGGGTTAAAATCAACAAACTTCATGGAAATGGTTGGAGTAATTCCCGTTGGATGATTAGCTCAACATTGCATTCCTGTTGTGATCTTTATCAGAACCCTCATATGTGAGGGGTTAAGTGACAACAAGTCAGATACAGTAGCAATCATAGTATTTCTGTCGTAAAGGGTCCCCAAGTTTTCAATCTTTATCAGAACCCTCATATGTGAGGGGTTAAGTGACAACTAGTAAGATACAGTAGCAATCATAGCATTTCTGTTGTAAAGGGTCCCCAAGTTTTCAGTTTGTATCAGAACCCTCACATATGAGGGGTTATGTGGCAACAAGTAAGACACAGTAGCAATCATAGTATTTCTGCCGCAAAGGGTCCCCAAGTTTTCAGTTTGTATCAGAACCCTCACATATGAGGGGTTAAGTGACACCAAATAAGATACAGTAGCAATCTTTGCATTTCTGTTGTAATGGCTCCCCAAGTTTTCAGTTTGTATCAGAAGCCTCACATTTGAGGGTTTAAGTAGCAAGTAAGATACAGTGGCTACTATTGCAGCCTGGTGTAATGACTCCCCAAGTTTTGAATTTTAAGTGATAAAAATACATTCCTGTATGGGAATTCAGTATGTGAATGTTTGGGATATTTCAGACAAATATTTACTATTTTCTTTCAAGGTAGGCAGTGACTATTTTCGGTGACATACAGAATCTTACAGGGTAGCGCAATAACTGAGTTTCCGTATGACTTGCGTGTGTTCAGTTGTGTCATAGAGCATCCGATATGACACAGGATGGTGCATCAACGATCGCGTAAAATAACATATTGTATTACTGCTCGTCAAATACAACGAAGGACACACAGACCGACGCTGACCTGGTTGAGAATTTTACAATTTGAACAAGATTTCTACAAATATGTCCAGCACAGGAATTTAATCGGGTCCATGCAACAGCAACTGGATGTTACCACGCAACATTTGAACAATGTTCTCTTCAAATTTGAAGACAACAGAGCAGTAATCATGTTCATTCCCTGAAGAACTTGTTGAAATTTGGCAACAATTAAGTAAAACTTTTGTGGAAGAGCAAAGAACGTTGCAGTGGGACTGGTAAATACACCGGTTGATTGTAAAAGCATCTGAGCTGGCCGTCCTATTAAACAGGCAAACATATTGCTAGGTCTTAATCATTCAGAATATACTACTGTTTACTGAGCGTTCCCCAGCAGCAAGAGAACGCCAAAGCTATTTACATGTGATGCTTCAAAATTTAGACTAAGGGCCACAAAATTTAGACAGGTGGGGGGTATACTCTTTCTTAAGTGGCATTTGTTTATGCAAATAGGTGCTTTGAATTATGGGTAGACAGGAAGATGGGCTGTATGCTCCTTCAGTTGAAGAGTTCTCCAAGGGAAGGTGGGAAGGCTTTCATATCTGGTTGTCTTGGAAATCTTGATGGAACATTTGTCAGAGCGCTACCAATTATATCTTCCAACTTCTGACTATGGTTCCTGAAGCTGTTGTCGAATGTCAAAACATTCGAAAAAGAGCAAGAAAAAGTTGGAACCTTATTGGTCGAGGGTTTTTAAATTTTGATAAGCAGAATCAGATGACGCCATAATTTAGTTTTTGGGAGTGCCCTTGACAAGATCATGTTGAAACTTGGAATAAGATATCTGCCTTTTTCAGGTTATAATTGGCAGCTTTGTAATAAAATTTGGTGTGTTTATTCGGAACATGCAGAGATTCGTGAACATGGGGCATTCTTGGGAGGTGTCTGAGCTTGATACAACATGGCCGTGTTTGTTGTTTAAAAATTTATTGAATATATTTGGTTAAAAAAACAGGGAGTGTTTTTATGTTGCATTTTTTGCAACCTTAATCTTGGCATAATGTCAAATGTATGAAGCGTGATCCTATTTGTGGAGTTTGTTTCTTTCGATATGAAATTTGGCCCAGGAAAATTAGAACATGAAATATCCCAGCTGGAATTGGTATTACCTTCCAGGAAACTGTTTCAAAGTAATAAATACTTTTTAACCACTTCACATAATTGTCAGTCAAGGATGGATGTTTTCAGTGCAGTGTTAATTTTTATGCGGGGAAAATTATTTTTGTTATGGCTTTAGTGCTTCCGTCAGATTGTGAAAAGATAATATTTGGAGTTATCCCATGGTTTAACATTTAAAATAAACGAAGATGTTGTCGCTAGATCTGAAAGGCACATTTCATAATTGAGCAAAACTAGACCAGACTTTCAACAATGCTTGCTTTCATCCCACAAATCCTTCCATTTTTGGCGATCTTTTCAAAATTTCAAATAAAAAACACAATTTGGAATTCACAAAAGCTATATTGTGTGTTTTCAGAGGAAAAGTTAGTTTGTTTGAAATGTTTATTGAAAGATGGCTCTTTAAGGAATAAGTCATCTTTTGTATCGGGAGACTTGTTTGAAATCGGAAGCTTCACCGAGCATGGAAGAGTTGGCTCTTTTTTCAAAAGTCCACAACAGGTAGCTAGCTATACAATAGTTGTACCAGGCAGCTCAGGGCCTGATTGGCCGGTGATAACATTCACACAGCTAGGCATGATGGGAAATATTACAGATTGAAAGTTTAATGCAAATACGTGAACACAACGTGAGATGAGCTGTCAGATTTAGACAGCAAGTTTTACTTTAGTAAAAAATGTTGATTTCGTACCTGCGTGAGAGTTGCTCTTAAAGGGGCTCTGTCAGGGATTTGTAATGTGTATAGATTCTATATACTGCTTCCCTGCCCACTACTGACTTACAGCTTGTGTGGGTCGTAGTACTGTGTTGTCTGTTTAAGTTGTTTACAATAGCATTCTGGGTGAGCAGGCTTGGACCAGTAGCTTCAAACTGCTCTGAAGAGTGACTTCCCTTGGGTGTTCAAGTATCTGCTGAAATCACATTTTGATTCTCTACAGTTTTTATCAGTGGTGTGCTAACATTGTAGCAATGCTTCTGCTTTTAACTTGAAGTATTAACTTTCTTCCTATCTTATATAGTTAGGTGAGTGAGTGATTATGGTTCTATGTTGCTTTTAGCAAGATTCCAGCAATATCACGGCGAGGGACACCAGAAATGGGCTTCATGCATTGTACCCATATGGGGAATCAAACCTGAGTCTTCAGTATGAAGAGTGAATGCTTTAACCATTAGGCTTTCTTTCTCTCTCTCTCTCTCTCTCTCTCTCTCTCTCTCTCTCTCTCTCTCTCTCTCTCTCTCTCTCTCTCTCTCTCTCTCTCTCTCTCTCTCTCTCTCTCTCTCTCTCTCTCTCTCTTCTCTCTCTCTCTCTCTCTCTCTCTCTCTCTCTCTCTCTCTCGATCTTGATGGTGTGATGTTTAAAACATATCACAAACCAGGGTGACTCAGCTGCCTTTGCCTTGCCTACTTTGAAGTCGACACCTTGTCAGTGCCACCACGTCAAGTTTGACGGAATCTCAGAGATGAGGAAAACACATGTAATGATCAAACACATTTCAGCTTCACCTCAGTTCCACCTTTTCAACAATACCTGTTCTTTGTTGAAGTCAAGGTCAGTGATCTAAGCGGTGGCTGAGTGGGTTAGATCGCTGACTTTGTGTGCTGGCAATTAGGTGCTTCACTCTGAGATTGTGGTTCGAATCCCAGATGTGGCTCAGCCATTAAGTACTAGAATGTATATTTTATTGAGTGAGTAAGTGAGTGAGTATGGTTTAACGCCGCTTTTAGCAATATTCCAGCAATATCATGGTGGGGGACACCAGAAATGGGCGTCACACATTGTACCCTTGTAGGAATCAAACCCTGCCTTCGGTGTGACGAGCCAACACTTTAGCCACTAGGCTACCCCGTCGCCCCCTGTACTTTATTGAGAAAGTGTAATCACAAATAAAACATATTTGGCATTTGAGCACTTTCCAAAAGGCATTGTGTGTTCTCAGAGAAGGAGTAGGACTTGCACAGCAAATGATGCCCAGCCAAAGATGATCACGTTTTTAGACAATAGATTTTTAAAAATACACTGATGTATTATTGTTTATTAATTTGATAAACAAAATTTGATCAGTGCTGAGTGATCTTACTTGGAGTTCTTGAGAGGCATATGGAAATTGTTATTCAAGTATAAGACAGATATTAATGATGTCAACTTATTCTTTATTGTATTCACGTTTCTGGGCTTTTCCTTGTCCCTTCGTGAGGCGAGGCAAGGAAAACCCCAGAAACATGTATGCAATAGTGAAGAAGTTCACATACGTAATATTTTGTCTTATGCTTGGTCCACCTTGGATTTGTACATACCCTTACATGAAGGGCTGTGCATGGTGATTTAAAAATCAGTGTTGGACCTGAAGAAAACATTGAGATATTGTTGTATGAGAAGTCCCACATGCGGGACTGGAGCCAACAAAGCAACAGGCTCCTGCTGCTGACGAGGATGATGTGGTATGCGATGGGCGCGGGACGATGTGGAGGGTGGTTGTGAAAGCCGAACATGCCTGCTGTGAATATAATAACGGGAGTAGGATCTCGGCAAGACGAGGGACCGCTGGTCCAACCCCTAAAGAGTTCTCATTTGCGGACAGGTTTTCAAAAGATTAGGTAGAAAGAAGCTTGTAGCTGATGATTACTATGATTATGTGGTTTGTTCAAAAGCGAAATGTTGAACGGAGTGCGATTTGGGAATCTCCACAGGAGAGTTCTTGAAGGAACTTACTGAGCAGAACTGGGAAAGCTCCTCAAAGGGCTGTTTGTTTAGGAAGAAGAAAGGGGATTATGTTTTGAGGGGGGATGAGATAAGATTGGCATGCTGTCGGTCCAGATAGACCACAGGGATCATGATGGGTGTATTTTGATTTGTCAGAAACTATTTGTGTCAAATATGCCATGCTTTGTGAAAGATGAAGTGAAGCATGACAGAAGTTAGGGCTGCTT